GCTCCACCCCCTTCACAGTCCCCCCCTATCCCGTCCCAGCCACCCCCTTGTGTCCCGTTGACGCCGCCCTCCCTTCCCTTCGCTCTGTCCCCTCCCCTGTTCACTCAATCAGCCCTGTGAGTGGCCAGCCAGCCTGAGACTACAACTGTGCACCACTATAACTGTACACTGCCAATCTGTCAGATTGGCTATTAATGGAGATGCCGGCCTGTCTTCCAGAGTAGGGGCTGGGAGAGCCGTGGTCCAGCTGACACCATATACGCAACAATGGACCAGGAGGTCTGTTCAATCAAACCAAAGGTGCAAGGATTAGATTGCGCATTGCTCCCCTGTTGACGCAGGTCAAGGATCAGATTGCGGTATGCAGAACTTGTGAAAAGGCAGAGGTTTCAGGGGTCTGAAAGATCCTCCAGGATTAGATGTTGTATTTGTGAATGATGGAGGGTGCTGAATATCAAGGCTCATTGTTGTGGAGAACACTGGATTTTGATGTCGGTACAAGGTTTAAAAAGGTACAAAGGGTTTTACAAAATGGGGGGTTAGAATAAGGGGGGTTGCAGACACCAAGGGTAGGAGTTGAGCCATTACCGCCAGGACGTGCGTAGACATTAAAGCACAGTGGACACTATCCTGGGTGGGGCTAGGTCAGTGGGAAGTAAGAGCTTTGCAAATTGGAAGGGTAACATAGGCAGCCCCGAGGGAGAGAAGGAAGCTGGGGAACAACAACTCTAATGGCCATATGCCCAACAAACACTGTGCTATAAAGATGTATCCAAGGGGACGCTGGACCCGATTTCCAGCAGGTGCTGCTCCCCACAAATAGATGGAGCCTCCCTGACGGTGCTAGATGTGTCTGCTCTTATCAGCACACCTAGCATCCGATCGGGTTGATTCAAAAAAAAAAAAAAGAAAAAAAAAAGGAGTTGTTGGAAAACGAGTTCGCCGCACGTAGTCTCAAGTTATAAAAAAGAACCGCAGAATCAGCACCAGATCGTGGAGAACAGGGGACAGCTATGACTTTCAGAGAATGTCGCGACCCGCAATTCTTCGAGGAAAGTCCTCGAAGGACTGCAGTGGAGTGCAAACCCTAATGGTGCAAAGCGCAATGACTCCAGCCACACACCGGGTGGCAGTCCGGCGCTGTTAAGTCAGACAGAGTAGTACAGAAGCAGCAGCACCAGTAGTGGTGGTGTTAAAATGATGCACAGCCACATGTTCTTGGGACATATACTGAGACCATTTTTCGGAATGTATGTACTAATAGTACTATATAATATATATATACTCCGACGAAACAGTTTGTCACAGCCCCTCTTTTGTTGTCCTCTTCTCTCTCTCTGCCTACGGTTTTACCGGGCAGTTCTGTTTGTGACGATATATATGTATATATATAATATCTCCACAAGGATATAGGTACTTTATATCTAATCTTTGGTGCAATTGCATTTTCTTGAAAACGTTTAAAACAGCAGTAACTGTTTCATTAAAAATAAAATGGGCATTTTATATTTTATGAACGAAAATTAAAACCTGCTTAATATTTGGCCCTAAAAATTTTAGCTCCTGAGGGTGGGGTGTTCTGAATACGCCAGACCCCCTTGTATTACGATTTGCGAGGCTTCGCTGTCGTGGAAGACAAATGGTGACAACTGAGCGGACAGACTAGGAATTGAATTTGACCCCCTTTGCTGTCAGGTAGATTCAAAAACCTGCTTATTTGGCCCTAAAAATGTCACCATTCTAGCTCCTGAGAATACGCCAGACCCCCTTGGCTTTGCTGTCCTGGAGGACAAATGGTGACAACTGAGCGGACAGACTAGGAAGTGAATTTGACCCCTTTCGCTGTCAGGTACACTCAAAAACCTGCTTATTTTGGCCCTAAAAACGTCACCTTTTTAGCTCCTGAGAATACGCCAGACCCCCTTGTAGCACGATTTGTGAGGCTTTGCTGTCCTGGAGGACAAATGGTGACAACTTGACAACTGAGCGGACAGACCAGGAAGTGAATTTGCCCCCTTTTGCTGTCAGGTACATTAAAAAAAACTGCCACGAGAGTAAAGCCTAACAAGTTGTGCTAATTTTTGGAACAAGTTTCAATTTCATTCACAAAAATGTAAAATGTCCACTTTAAGTGTCAAATTCACTTCCTGTTCTGCCTTCTCAGTATTCACCATCTTGTGGAAGGTCAGATAGCACACTGACATGAAGTCATGCCAGCCTTCCAGGATGTATCTAACTTTGATCAGAGCTAAATTCAGTCAAGAAGTATGATATAAAACAGCAATTTCTTCAAAACGGACCTATGTTTTTTTTTTTTTTTTACAGAAATTGAAATCTCGTAAATTAACCCGATAGTAATTAAATTCAACTAGAGGGCTGTATGTTCTCGTTTTGTTGATGGGCCCGTAAGAGGTCGAGGGCTGCTTCACAAGTAGAGTAGAGAGGCAAGCAACAAAGCGCTTGTACAACGTCTCTAATCTAATTAAATTAGATTAGAATAGAATGTCGGTCGACCGTATATTTTAAGTTTGAACACAGATCAGGTGGAAATTTTAAAGCTCTCGAGGCTTCGGCGTCCTTGAAATGCTGGACCCCCTGGATGTATCTGGACTTACCTTGGCGTTCTGAAAACGCCGTATCCCCTGGATGTATCTGGACGTAGCTGGCATCCAGGGGGGCACAGCGTTTTCAGAACGCCGTACCCTCAGGAGCTTACAATATCGACCCAAACCGGGCCAATTTATGAGGTTTCAAACGTCAATTTTTGTTCAAAAGTTAACGCGGAAACTGTGGCTGTGTCACACTTTTATTAGATTGAAATTGGCATGAAAATTTGAAAAGGCAAAAGTGACATTGTAGTCATGGTGTGAGTTTGGAAAATGGAGAATGTGCAAGAAAATGTACCAAGTCCAGGGTGTTGTAGAGGTCGGTTTCTGGACCCACGACAGGTACCTATCTAACAGTCAGCAACTGATTTATGGGACCCAGACCATCCTATCCTGGAGGATCCCCTCAGACAGTCGGTTTAAAACGGCGCGAGTAGCTAGACTCAGTTATATCTGCCGAGAGAAAGAACTGGTAAACTCGTTGTAGGTTCAAAAACTTCAAATCCTACATTCCAGAAATTAAGCCATAATAAAAAAACAGAGTTTGGTCCTAGTCTCCATCTCTCATTTCTCAATCACAAGAGATGAAGATAAAAGTAGTGAATGTGGTTTTAGGGTTGCCTTTTCTGAAGTTTTTTCAAGTTTTTTGCCATTTTTTAAAACTGCTACAATTGCCCCTTTTTTTTTTCTTTTTTTTTTTTTTTTTTGGAACAATTGCCATTCTGAAGAACATGGGGTCGCCCAAAAATAAAATATGTCCGTTTTGACGAAATCTCTGTTATAACTGAAGATTTGGTCCGATCTAATGATTTCGAAATTTTTGTGTTGTTTCTTTCTTGATTCTTTTAACGATAATATTCTGATCATTTTTTGGAATTCTGTGTTTTTCCAACATGATTTTGGTCGCCGGCCTTGTAGGAGTTGGAAGCGGCAGTGCGGGCCGCTGTGGGGACGGCGGGGTTAAGCCTGATAGACTGCCGTATTGAGAAAGACGACGCTACAGAGGAGCTCCGTCTATTCTCCAAGTACGTGTCGGACTACAACAGTCGGATGGAAGAAGATTAAGTTGTCAGGTCCGACAGGTTATGGCTCTTCGACTTCTTGCGTGTAAATAAGGGGCTCGCCTCACAGCACTGTCAACACGAGAAAAGCAGGTGTGCATATTCCCGTCGTGAGTGTCCAGATGCATCAGTTAATCAGATGGAAGATTGAGTCGTCAGGTCCGATAGGTTAGGGTTAGGGTTCTTGATTTTGTGTGTGTATATAAGGGCCTCGCCACACAGCGGACTGTCAACACACGAGAAGCAGGTGTGCATGTTCCCGCCGTGAGTGTCCAGCCGCCGTGAGTGTCCAGATGCATCAGTTGCTATAAATAGTAAGGGATGCATGTTGCCACTTTCTGGGGAAGATGCAGACGTACTTTCTTCGTTTCCCTTTGTCGAAAAAGGATGTAATACGATTCCGAAGTCGTCATCGCTTGTGCTTCTTTGGTCTGGCAGTGCTCATTTACATTCAGATCTTAGTGACTTGGTAAAAAGAGATTCGAAGAGTAAATACCTAATAAAATTATACGGAATGTTATCAAGATGATGTAATATAATGTGGATTTGATTACCCTCCCTTTCTTCAACAGAGGATGTAATTGTAATATCATTCCCAAGTTGTCATTGCGCGCACTACCTTGGTCTACCGCCCTCCCTCGAAGTTTCTTCAACAGACGATGTAATATCTCAGTCCGAGACTCCGAACTTGAAAGTCGTCATCGCACCCCCTTCTCTGGTCTGCTCGTTTACGTACCAACCTTTGGTCGGCCTGGCATCATTCCTCTCTGTTTTTTTTTTGTTGTTTTTTTTGGGTTCCCGGGTTTCTCCCTTTTTCTATGCAGCCCAGGTTGTTGTAGGGGTTGGATGTTATCGTTCCTACCTGGACAACAACAACAACATTAATTGTTGACGAGGTTTGTTGACGAGGTAGAGTGAAGTGTAGATACAACAACAAAAACATTAATTGTTGACGAGGTTTGTTGACGAGGTAGAGTGAAGTGTAGATATAGTTGATGACTATATTAAAAACATTCAAAAAAAAAAAAAACACGTTTTTTGGCCTTTGACTTTCTTTTTTTTCTTTTTTTTCTTTTTTTTTTGTGTTAAAAAGGTGTAGATATAGTTGTTGTTTTTGATAAAAAGTTGAGATACTGTTGTTGAATAAATTACAAACATTCGTCCTCAGAGTCTTGGCTCGGTCACGGTCACGGTATCCATTGTTGGGACCGTCACTGTGGCTCCTACCCCCCCCCCCCGGCACTGGATAAAGACGCAGGCAGGAGCAGCGCATTGTTCATTGACAACAGCTAAGTCTCTCCAACTTCACTGCTAGCCTTAAGCTATTCGATCGTACGAGTAGTGTGGACTTTGGATACGATACCAAGAATGCACTCGCTCAATAAAGGCCCCCGCCGCCCTACTCGGCAAATGTGCAAAATGAGAACGAATCTTCACTTAGAACATGGGAAAGAATAGACACCGCCATATGTCTCGTCTTTTGTGTACTACGGATCAAGGTCCAAAGTCTGGGCCGCAACGAAGAGCATGATGGCAATGCAGGGGTCCTTTGCAACTGCCGGCTACTGCCCAAGGGTCAAACGATGCAATAGTACGAAGGCTATCTGGATGCGGATCAGTGCCAGCTTTGTCACAAGAGAGACAAAAGTCTGGAATCTGGAGGCTAGCCGAGGACAAGGTGGTGGACGTCAATGACAAGTGGTAGAAACGACAAATTTAAAGTGGTAGACCGTAGAAGTCAAACTCAACTAATGGGGGATGCTCTTACCTGACCCCATTCGCAGGAGCAATGCGCACCCCCACGATGTTCAATTGAAAAGAAAAAAAAAGCAGTTGAAATCGATGGGACTCGTACACTTCAGAAACTGCACTATGGACGGAGAGATGTGGGGCTGACGACTTTTGTGTCGGCTTGCTAATCCTCTGCGAGTGTGCAAGGTGGTCATCATGACTCATGATGATCAAAAGCAAAAGCGCAGTCAAAAATGATGTAGAAAAACAGTAAAATAGATGGGACAGGATGACTATACGCACACTCCGGGAAGGATGTATGATGCGCTGGGGAACCAACGATGCTTTCTCGTGGTTCCGGATGGGTTCTGTGGGCCCATGGAAGCCTTCTCGTGGTTCCAGATGGGCCTGCCGGGGGCACCAATGATGCCTTGTTGTGTTTCCAGATAGGAATGCTAAGACGGACAGGTTCACAGATGGGATCTGAGAGGAATATGGGCAAAGCTGGTGGGACCAATGATGCCTTTCTCGTGGCTCCATATGGGCCCAGGGGAACCAATGATGCTTTCTTGTGCTTCCAGATCGGATTAGCAAAAGCCGACAGGTTCACAGACAGAACCTGAACCTGTGAGGAATACGTGAGACGGGCAAAGCTGGTGGGACCAATGAAGCCTCCTCGTGGTTCCAGATCATGGGCCCTGGGAGACCCAATTATGATGCTTTTTCTTGCGGTTCGAGATGGGAGTAGCCAAAGCTTCAAGCTCACAGACGGAACCTGAGAGAGGAGTACGTGAGAAGCGCAAAGCCGACAGTCGATCCCTCCGGTGACATGGAGCGGCGGAGCGGCGAGGAGTGTGTAATGATGTAATATTCGTTGTCGACTTCCCGAGGGTCTGGAGCAGCTTCAAAAAATTCCTTACTCTCCCACAGAGGGGGGAACACACCAGTACCTTTCCCAAATGCCGGCCCCGGCCTGCGGGCAGTCTTGCAGGCCCTAACCGAAAAACGGGCTGCCGATTCGATTTATCAATGGTGGCCCTCTCCCACTTGGCCCCCGCGTTGCCTGGCGTGTCTTGGCACAATGGCTGGGCACGTCAAAATGGCACTATTCTTCTAGTGGTGGTTAAGGTACTGTTGGTTAAGGTACCAATAACGGAACCACTATTCTTCTAGTGGTGGTTAAGGTACTGGTGGTTAGGCACTATTCTTCTAGCGTTAGTTTTTACTGCATTTCAAGGAATGGAATATGTAGAAGCTCCTTTTACAATTTCTGATGGAATATATGGCTCTACATTCTTTTTAGCTATACTTGATTCCATGGCTTTCATGTCATTGTAGTAACCATTTTTCTTATCATCTGTTCTGTTGGTCAGTACATGGGTCATTTTACTCTAAGACACCATTTCGGGTTTGAAGCTGCCGCTTGGTATTGCCATTTTGTTGATGTGATTTGGTTATTTCTATTTGTGTATCGTTGAATACGAGTTAAATAGTCAAAGGATAGTCAAATAGTTGAATTATCATTGAGTATGAGTTTAATAGCCAAATAGTCAAATAGTCAAAGGATAGTCAAATAGTAAATATGTTCTTCGTTGACCAAACAGAATAGTAAGAATAATAGTGGTTGGCCAAAGACTTGTCAGCACTCGTCAACAGAAAAGTAGTTGGTTAGTGTGAACTTTTTGGTGGCTATGGGAGAGAGAGGAGAGGGGGGGGGGGGGGGGGGGGGGAGAGAGAGAGCTGTCTCTTATACACATCTAGATGGGGGGAGGATTCCGGTCCCTACTGACAGGCTGGATTAGTTTGTGTGGTATTCGGAGGAAGACTCTCGCTCAAACTACTACCCCTCTGCCACTGTCCCCCATTGACTTGGCATCATTCCGCCCATCTTCCCCTCACCTTCTTCTCCCACCTTGTAAGAGTGAATACATTTTTCCAAATTCTCCGTTGAATTTCATCACAGGGGAACTTCTTTTGTTGCCTTGTACTAGGCTTGTAGTTGCTTTTTTTTTTTTTTTTTCGTTGTTCTTCCCATTTTCTTTTGGGCGTGATGGCGTGATGGTTAACACAGTTGGAAAAGATTTCCATGCACTCGTGGCAGCCCCCGCCCCTTTGAGAAGGTGACTCGTACTGCAAGGGTAGGGCTGAGTTGCCCTTGCTTTCCTTCTCCCGCTGTTTCTTGTACTCTTGCTTGCCGGTAATAAGCAACAGGACTGATGCCCCCCAGAAATGAAGGGGTTGTGAGCTTTGTGTAAAAAGAAAGAGGGGAAAAAAAGGCAATAATTGGTGTTGTTGTCATGCAATTGGTGTAAGTGGACATGCACAAAAATCTGTCCGGAATATCATTATTATATGCATCGCATCATAATGGTTGGATACTGTGGCCCTTGTTGCTGCCAAAGGGCGGTTCTGGCCAGCAGATCGTTTCGTGGGACCGACCGCGGTTGCCCTCTCTATCGACGACCCTCTATCGACAATGCTCTTCAGTCGCATGACCAATTTCTCAAGCTCAAGCTTTTCATTGATTAACCATGCGCCAGGAGGCACTTGAATTCTGGTGGGCGGCACTGTGTGGATGGGGGGAGAGAGAGAGAGAGAGAGAACAGGTAAGTCTCCAACCTCGCGGCTGGCCTCATGGTACTTCCACCAACAGGATGAGCAAAATCGAATGGGTCTACCGCTAGAACATGGAAATATACACTGCCATACTTGTTTGTGTGTGTGTGCGTGTGTGGGTGTGTGTGTGTGTGTGTGTGTGTGTGAGAGAGAGAGAGAGAACAGGCAAGTCTCCAACCACGCGGCTGGCCTCGTGGAGTCATGGTACTTCCACCGATAGGATGAGCTAAATCGAACGAGTCTACCGTTAGAACATGGAAATGTACACTACCATACTTTATTGTTTGTGTGTGTGTGTGTGTGTGTGAGAGAGAGAGAGAGGTATCCAACCTCGCAGCTGGCCTCATGGTACTTCCATTGTGTGTGTGTGTGAGAGAGAGAACATGTAAGTTTCCAACTCCGCGGCTCGCCTCATGGTACTTCCATCGATGGGATGAGCAAAATCGAATGAATCTACTGCTAGAACATGGAAATATACACTGCTGTGTGTGTGTGTGCGTGTGTGTGTGTGGGTGGGTGGGTGGGTGTGTGTGTGTGTGTGTGTGTGTGTGTGTGTGTGTGTGTGTGAGAGAGAGAGAACCATCGATAGAAGGCGGGGTGTTGGGGAGTGTTGGACAGGGGTGCAGTGGAGGGGTGGTGATGGTTGTAGGGGAGGGATGTTCAGGGGTGTAGGGGCATAAAGGTGTTTTTTTTTGTCATTTTCTGAGTGGAGGGGCCTAGTCCTCATCATCTACAGCCCCCCACCACTCTCTGCGTTTTTCAAAAGTTGGTGAGGCAAGGGAAAAAAGAGGTAGAACGGGGTTAAAGCAGGGGTAGGGGGTTAGAGCGGCGCTCTAATGGCACCCTACCCCACTCTACCTGTCTTTCTCCGGTAACCGTTGCTAGCTAACCAGTGCGATCAGATACATCCCCGGTTGCTAGCTAAGCATTGCGATCAGATACATCCATACGGTTATCATAGAAGAACCAGATATAGTGCGAGTATTGTAGTACCTCAAATACCTCAAATAGGTCAACGGGCGATATATCTGGACTGAAATGTGCCCCAAATACAGCTAATATAATGACTGTCCTATTTGGGTGAATCACCCGGCAGTACTGCAATTGGTGCTCCTTGACTTTGTAACAGAAGGGTTATGATAAGCTCTGGCCCTAATTGT